AAAGAACGAGAAAAAATGTTGAGATTAAAGAAGAAATAAAGTGATAGTTATATCTGAAGAAGTAGTGGTCAAACCATGTTTGAGAATAAGAGTCAAGCAGTTCAAGAGTATAATACAAAAATCTCTCTACAGCCTACTAAAAACTTGACCGTGTACAGAAGCAACATCAGTTCATTCTTAAAACTTCCTTCGAAGGCAGCGCTAGAAGTTTTTAAATGTTTTAACCAGCCACTAATATTAATTCCTGCTCTGGAGCTCCGTCTAATGGCTAACAGACTGTTAATGACATTGTCAAAACTCAATTGTCCAATCACAGCCCTGATTTCTTGTAACCATAGTAACGTCATCTGTTTTGTCAGTTTCGAAAATTACATTTCCTATGATGATTTTGCCTCCAGATTTTCTATGATATTGCAAATTAAATTTTATTTTAATCTTAGATTCACATTCTGTTTGTCAACTTTAACTTTGTTTTTTAACGTAGCATGTACATTGTACGCGACTGTCAGCTTGAGGGGCTGTCATTTTGTAGGCGGACTTTTCATCATAATAATAAAAGAAGACATACTTACACCAGCTATATACAAATACTCTACTATGTTTAACTGTTTGACGTACAGTCTGTTTTGTTTTTCAATTGTTCAGCGTTACTTCCAGTAATCTAACAAAATGACTGAAGCCAGTATTTATAGTTTTCAAATATGATACTTAATTGTTGCCATTACATTATAACAATGGTTCAATATTATAATTAATTATAATCAGTCATAATAATAATTGTAAGGATTATAGTGTATTATAATTAGTACGGCATAGATGGCACCACTTGTGAGATCAGATGTAATTAGATAGAAAGAAATAACAGTTAAGAAGAATTAATAAAAAATAGGAAATATTTAATAAAATCAGTAAGTATTCAATTTTTTCTCACAATTGTATAGGGTATATATACGTTATGTAGGTCTTTTTCTTCTACCTGGCAATTTCCCAGCTTTAGCCAGGGTCTGCCTTACATGTTGTAAATAGTTTTGGCTAATTGTTTTTACGACCGGCCGCCTGCCTCACATCAACCCTCTTTGGAAATGCATTAATCAGTGATATCTAAATATTCTAAGAAAGTACATATGACTCGGAAAAATCACATTGGTACTTGCCAGGATCAAACCCGCGCCCTAATGCATTAGAGGCGGGCCTTTTAACCACTAGGCCACCACTGACTTTTTACGTTATGTAGGTCATATAGCAATATTTTGGTAAAGTCTAATTTAAATAAATAAAATTATTTTTAAGTTCATTCTGGTAGTTGTTCTAAGTGCTAGTTAAAATAAAACAAGTCTTCTTTAAACAAATAATTAAAATTAAAACGAATATTTTCGGATTACCTCGCGTATTATTTAAGAAGAAAATTAATTGTAGCCTGAAAACGTTTAATATCTCGCCTGTCCGTGATCACGGTTGCTGAAAAGTAACCGAAACGTCGAGAGTATGTAGGTAGTTTATAAGATAATAAAATACGCCCAATATAATCCGAAAATATTAGTGTCATTTATATGAATACTCTCGAAAGTCTTACATCTTGTAACAAAAATACTAATACTTAGTCTTTTAATAGTCTTCATTCTTTTAATAGTTTTAATAGTCTTTATTCCATTCGACAATCTCCTTCGTGTTTCCTCCCCACAATACTCAAGATTATAATTCGACCAATAAATAAAAATTTAAAATACACATTGACAAAATATTAAACTATTCCAGTGCGTATGAAGCCTTAGCTTAAAAAAAATAGACATTTTAATAAGTAATATCTCACTTGTATCCTTAGTATAAGTGTGTTTATCCACACTACATACGGCACGTTTGATAGTGTAACGAAAAGAACTCATAGTAATGAAAATAACATAAGAAATGTAGGTATAGTTAAATATATACATATTTTAAATTACTTAATATTAATTAAAAACAAATTTTATTAAATCGTTTTAAAATAACAGCAAAAACTATATAAAAATATATTGTTAAATTGACATGAGTATAACATATTTATAATTAATAAGATGGATATGTTTCAATATAGCATTATGCCTAGAACAAAGGAATTTTATAATAAAGAAAAGATATTTATTATTCACTAGTACTAAATTATAACTAAATAAGAAATAATAAAAAAACCATCGATTCAATAATGTCTTTGCACATATATATATACAAATTATTAAATATTTTAAATAACTTCATATAACAAAGCACGGTGGTTAAAATATTTTGGGAAGTGAAATTCTATTACGGATAACACAATCGGCTTTTAACTTTTACTCTCAAAATGCGATCATGAAAACAAGAGGACGAAGGAAAGCGAAAACGATATCGAATATACTATGAGCAAATAAAAAATAATCGATTTTATTTTAATATATTCAATAAGATAATTAATATTATATAGTTAAATTGCATTATTATATTTGATAATTAGAAGTCATTTCATTATTCTAGGCGTCAATACATATATATTTTTATTGTGTATAATATGATTGTTCTAAATAACATTTGTTATAATAGTATTGAACTTAATAACAAAGTCCAATAAATCGAAGTCGACATTTCGCGATCGCAAAAATCAATAGTCGATGTAACGAGCGGTGAGCTAGCGGACAGCACACCAATATTGTAATGTATTAACGACATATTTATATTAAACGAAAAACAACCTTATTGCATCATATTACGGCTGAATTTCATCTGTATGGTTTTCTGTTTTGTTACTTTACGTATTGGACGTTGCATAGACCGGATAATCGACGGCTAGCCTTGTGCGATATCGATTTTACCGAGGGCTGTTTTATAACGGACCGACAGATGTATAGCTGTTTCGCTCGCACATAAACAACAGAGCGTTCGTGAGAGAGGGAAAGCTATAATTAAAGAGTACGTTTATTTGGTGGTCCGTTGTCATAGCGACGGGCGCAGGGGTAAAATTTTCCAATACGATCCCGTTATCAATTTTCGATAATTCAGGTCATGGATGTTGTAAATGTATTTATAGATGGGAATATGACAATAACTGCAACATGACGATACTGAGACATTAAACTATGATCAATACTACATAGATTGATTGTTATTGACGATCAATGATCATACGTAATAACTATTATAAAATCGATATTATTTATATCGTTCGGAAATCGATAAAAATAGGTCATTATTTTATGCAACCAAATTAGATTTTTCGTGTTGATTGTTTTAAAAGTATATCCAAATTCACCCTATTTTGTTAATAAAGTATCCCTTCGTCGTGTAGCTCGGGTTATCGACCCCGTATTCGGTAGGCTCGTGTCCCTTGATCGATAAAACAATCGATGTGACGTCACGCCGGCTGCGCGCGCAACACACGCGGCCCGCCATTACTATACGGGTTAATAATAATACTCTTTTAGACATTACTATTGTTGTTTAGTTTTTTATTTATTCAAATCATTTAATATTGTTACCATTAAACAAAATTTTGTTATACCTATTTTAGTTATGATTTTATTGTCAGATCGAATATTTATATGAATTATTGTATTTAAAAAGTATCCAATTTGTATTTGTTAGAACTTGGGTCATATATTCGTAACAGATGTAAAACCGACAAAAATTAATAACATTCTATTTTTAAATAGATTTTTATCATATTGCGTGTCGGATATGATATTTTTAGATATCGTTATGAATTTAAAATATTTTAATTATTTTATATGTTTTAATGAAGTCATATATTTTCGTAACTTTCAAATATCAGTATGAGGACAACTCCTTTATGACGTAATGTAACACTATCATAGCTAGTGATGGAATTATCGATTAATATATATATCGATAGTTTATATCACATTTGACGATGGATTGTTAACTAAAATGGAATTACCTATACAAATTATGATCTGATTCTAATGAAAAATTTGGAATAATTTTCTTAAGTATATCTATCGATATTATTGGTATATACTATATTGTGTATATTTTTTAATAGAAGTAATACATTATCGATATATATATATATATGTATATTATCGATACCATTGATCCATCACTACGTATCGCTTGTGATCCGCCAGGTGTCGACTGTAGAGGGTAATGTGACACAAGAATGAGTTTATTTTATACATATTTTAATTAATGTATTTTTTAACATATATAATATAAATAATTTTCGTAAAATTATTAGGCTTTTATGTAGAAATAATACGATGATTAGAAATTATAGGTACGCATTTAATTGTATGTAGGTATAGTTTTCCCTTTGTGTAATGTTGGTTTTGGTATTTTTGCCTGCATGCTACAACTTCAACGGAGGCAGATTTGTGCACCGAAATTTCTGTTATGTAGGTACAAGCTTATATACTGTACTCTATAGTGTATGTATGTGTTCGTGGGTCAAGAAGGATATCAAATAACTCCTTTGTGTAGTCTTAAAGGGATATTTTCTATGAAGCAAGCGAGTGGCACGTGTACACTCGGTCGGAAAATTCCGAGCTACAATATGTATAAGCTATCTAAATGGTATTTTCAAGCTGTAATTAATAAGTTTTAATATTAAGTACAAGTAACAGTCGCAGTTTATCGCGGATGACAAATAAGTATGTGTATGAACATAGATGGTGGGAGTTTAAGTGTTACATTAAAAATACATTACTGTTGTAATAAGGTTTCGATAGATAACAATGACTTCGAGCCGGCGATGTATAGCAAACAGCTAGAATGTTAAGCATCAGAACCTTTCATTCCGAGCCTCGGGGTAGGTTGAGGGTGCATCGTAGTGTTCACGTCATAAAACAAGACTTGAAACAGCTGTTCAGGCGAATGTGATTCTTAAAATGAGACATTAGGGTCTGTAATCGTTTAGGCTTTATGTAGGACGTGTTCCGGCGAGGGTGAGAGCGGGGGGTCGCTCAGGAAGGGTGCGGCGCGCAGGCGTGCGTCAGTCGCCCGCGCGACGCCGCCGCCGCCGGCCGCGCGCCATGGACGATACACGGCTGAGGGAGCGAGCGCCTCTAACGGTCATAGTGGCGCCGAGCAACGTGTCCCCGCCGCGGCTGTCCCCCGCGGACCTGCTGCCCGACGGAGACGCCGCCTTCCACCCTCTGAGCGCCGTCAACGGCCGCCTCACGCCGCCGGGGCTCGAGCCCGCGTCCTACGCCACACTGACGCCCCTGCTCCCTTTGCCCCCTATAAGCACCGTATCTGATAAGTTCGCGTACCACGCGGGCGGCACCTTCACGGTCATCCAGCAGCAGCAGTCCTACGCGTCCTTATCTCCTACAGCTTACAATGAGCCGTTATCGCCTCAGTCAGCGTACAGTCGGCGGAGCGCGTCCCCGGGCTCGTACGAGCGTCGATCCCCCACGCCGCCGCTGCCCAGCCCGGGTTTGGACCTGAACGCAGCTTTACTAGCACGAGAGACGAGGGAGGAACAAGCTCAGCAGACGCAGCAGAATGATACAGAGGAGATTAACACGAAGGAACTCGCGCAGAGGATAAGCGGGGAGCTCAAGAGGTACTCAATACCTCAGGCGATCTTCGCTCAGAGGGTGCTGTGTCGGTCGCAGGGGACGCTCAGTGACTTACTCAGGAACCCCAAGCCGTGGTCCAAGTTGAAGTCGGGCCGGGAGACCTTCAGGAGGATGTGGAAGTGGCTCCAAGAACCAGAGTTTCAAAGGATGTCGGCCTTGAGACTTGCAGGTATGTTACATATAGATTGTACGTAAATTAACATTTACCTTTCATTACTAATATATTTATTTTTGATTTTCATCTATTCGACACGAAAATATTAGTATAACAATACAATGATGACGCCTAGGTAGCCTAAAATGAAAATTGCGAACATGTAACAAAAACGTCGATAGTGACGTGACATGTTATAATCGATATAGCGGTTTACAAACATCGTCAGCTGTGCATCGATTGTCGAGTATCGACCGCGGCCGCTCGATACGACGCGTCACTATCACTAGTGACGTGCCCGTAACACGCATCGATATACATATAGTGATGTGTTGATAGTATTTGTTTATGATAACGATAGTTATAAAAATGTATCGAAACTTGGAAGCATTTTAAATATATGAACTGAGGATCGCGTGTCTTTCAATTAATATATTCTTAACGCGATTAATAAGTTAATTAATGTACAATATTTGCTGTTAAATAAAAAATATTTAGATTGTTTTTAATATGAAAATCGACAACATTATAATTTTTTTCTCTTAATAATTATGCGTATTTTCAATATAATTATTTAATAATCGATATAAATATTATCGATAATCGATATATATGTACGTCACTATATCATGATCATATCTAGCCAGGGGTAGTTCACCCTCAGCAAACATGAAACTCATTGTTCTAAGTAACACCATCTGCTTATAAAGTTGACATAAAATATTTGATACTAGGTTACAACGGGGTTTAGACACAACTTGTTACTTTACTAATATAAAACTCGCGATATTAATTTAAATAAAACTAATATTTAAGTCATCAGCCTATCAGAGCCCACTGCTGAGCCTCTTCTCACATGGAGAAGGTTTGAGCATTAATCAACACTTGCTTAAGACGGGTTGACGATTTCAAACTTATATTTTGATAAAAGTCCATGTTTCCTCGCGATGTTTTCCTTCATCTGTCAGTGATGTCTAAATACTCTTAGACAATACATATGACTCGGTAAAATCACATTGGTACTTGCCAGGATCGAACCCGCGCGCTCGTGCATGAGAGGCGGGCCTTTAACCACTAGGTCACCACTGATCTAAGCTATTAAATACAAATATTATTACTACGCGTTTTTTGTTATTTTAACTACATACTACCGACGTTTCGGTTACTTTGTAGCAACTGGTATAGAAAAAAATATCCTTAACACTTGTGTGTATTTTTACTACGTACGTCGCGTTTCTCGTTTTTCATTTATTACTGCTTGATATCTGATTAGATTTATTAATGAAATACTGTTAACGTTACGTGTTGTGTGAAAACGCGAACTTTGCGTACGCGTAATTGTTTATTGCGCGTCATAAATACCACAATATTTTCAAGTCTACCGATCATATTATTGTACATTTATAACATTATGGATTTTTTTAATAATACATATGAGAAGACGGAACGAAACTTCTCATCATTCAATGTATTCACGGTGCGTGTGTCGGGTCCATCGTTGTAGTGAGAGGAGCTTCAACAGTGACTGGGACTTGTGACCCAGGTGTAGGTTTAAGGGACCCCTATCTAACGCGTTAAACACTCACCTCCACCGTCCAAGCTCCTCTCTCTACCAAATTTTAAAAAAACCTAGGGCTGCCTTCGAAGTACGTTCTAATAATGTATTAATATTAGTTCTGGACAGGCCCAAGTCTTTTAGTAGGTTATAAAGAGATTTAGCTATTATACCTCTTTTTTTTTTTTTTTTTTTTTTTTTTTTTTGTTATCCTTGGGAAAATGCATTTACGCATCCCCGCCGTTTTTAGAAAACAGCGGGGTATGTGGGACTCGTTGCCACTACCCACTAAAAACCCAAGGGTATTCCACGACGGCCCTTGTGTCGGGGCGGGGGATCGCTTTCGCACTCCCACCAGCTTCCCCGACAGGCTGGCCCGCATTCTGGGGGCCCTTCTCCTTTTGGGGGCACTGGTACCGCCCCCCCCTCATGTGGTGCTCTTTTCCACGCACGTGACCTCGGGAGTTGCATAGGGAACACAACCATGCAACTCCCTTTACCGTTTAGCGCGGGTTGGGGTCCGCGCCACGGGCCATTTTCATGGCGGCCTCAAATCGTAGCTATTATACCTCTCGCTCCCACTTCTACCGCGTACAAATCCTATAATAAATATAATAAAAATATTTTACTATACATTTTATACTGAATCTTATATTTTCATTTATATACTTAAACAGCTTAGCTTCGTAATTACATATTTTTATTCATTTATTCATCAAATGCTATCTTCTAAAAGGTAACTATAATTTGCAAACCCTAATACATATATTATATTTGAAATGAGATTTTTTATTTTTATTTTTAATGCCTGACAATTCATAACTCATGTTTTCGCCCTTTGAATCTTAAACACAGTGGAATGCTCAAGTAAATACAAATGTATTGAAATCCTGAAGATATGAGCCTAGTAAATTGCTCTGAACTAGGTCACGGCCTAGATATGAGATCTAGGCATCGTCTCTATACAACTAGGAATCATGATTACTAGGTTAGACAGAGAGAGGAGCTTGGACGGTGGAGGTGATCGTTTAACGCGTTAGATAGGGACCCTTAAACCTACACCTGGGTCACAAGTCACAGTCACTGTTGAAGCTCCTCTCACTACAACGATGGACCCGACACACGCACCGTGAATACATTGAATGATGATAGTTTACGTATTATATGTTTATTATGAGAAAACTATTTGTAGTACAGTGATTTAGAAATTATTTTTCTTTTCAAAAATATCTTGGATGGGTATACGGGTGTTTTCAATAGTTAACTTAGACATTAAAAATAACAAAAGGATAAACGGAAAAGCTGGAAAGATTTTTATACTACATATTATATTTTATACTTAGTACGAGTTATAGATCGTTAAAAATACATACATTATTTGAAGTTTTTGATTCAAGAATTAAATTACATGCAAGCATCATTAAGTATATAAGATATTTATTTTCGTTCCTATCATACAAAAATTCCTAAATAATAAAAAATGTAACTTACTAAAAATAAATTTTAAATTTCTATAAGGACACCAAAATAGATTTTTAACATTTAAAAGCCGCGAAGCCTTATCTGTGTCGGACCCTAATTCAAAAAACCCAGTCAACGATATTAAAATAAAGGGGTTAAAAAATATTGCATGACATTACTCGGTTAAAATGAATATTTAAAATAAATAGATTTCTACTGCTTATATATGGAAATTAAAGTAAAACTAGCTGTTGCCTGTGGCTTTGACAGCATATTAAACTGACATAGCTTTTTGATATTCATCATCATCAGCCTATCAGAGTCCACTGCTGAGCTGCCTCTTACATGGAGAAGGTTTGAGTATTAATCACCACGCTTGCTCAAGACGGGTTGGTGATTTCAAACTTATAATTGTGAAATTATAAGTCCATGTTTCCTCACGATGTTTTCCTTCATCTATTAATGGTGTCTAAATATTCTTATAAAGTACATATAACTGGGAAAAATCACATTGATACTTGCCAGGTTCGAACCCGCGCCCCCATGCACTAGTAGCGGGCCTTTGACCTCTAGGCGACCACGACCAAGTATTTTTGACATTACTACGAGTGAAATTCTCTTTTAATATCAACCAGTTTCGTATATTATCCGAAACAGATAAACACATGTAATTTTATAAATATATTGTATTATATATTTTATATTGGATTTAGCGGACATTTGTTAATTTTAAATTATTATTGTACATTTATATTATATTTATTATTATGTTTTATTGAAAATTTTTAGAGTAACGGTATTTAATTTGAATGGAAAAATATTAATGAGTCTAAAGTCGCGTTCTAATTAAATTGTGTGAAGATTTTTAAAGTGATGTCTTCATATAGACGTTTCAAAAGTTGACATTAAAGACATACAAATATGTATATATATATATAAATAACAGACATTCACATCTCGTCTGTCCGTGATTACGGTTCTTTAAAAGTAGCTGAAACGTTGGGAGTATGTAGTTTATACAATAATGAAACACGAGTACATAGTATATCTGATTTTTTTTGTTTCATTTAGGCGAAGGAGTATACAAAATAATTATATAATAAAATAATGTATGTTTTAAGAGAAAAGGATTATTGAAGATTATTTTCTATATTCAAATATATTACAAGATTTTTTTCTATATATAATTGCTATAGTATATTCTAATTGATTTTCATACAATTTTTATTCAATTCAACACCGCTCTGGTTTAGTTAGTTTCTGAACGTGAGATGTCAATTGAGGTCAAACAAGCGCTGACATTTACACTACAAAATACTCACACTGTATCTGATATGGAAATATATTTAATGATCATATTTTTATATAATTTGAACGTATACAATATTATTGATAGAATTGTATGTTTTGACATAACAGACATTCACACATATGACATATATGATTACAAATTGACATGTATGTCATTTTTACAAATATGTCTGCCTCGTAATAATAAGAATTCATATAATGCGGATATTTAAGCAAGCAAAATTAGAGGAAATTTTTATTTTAAATTTAGGCAGAGCAATAATAGATGCAACTTTTTCTTTCATATTTTTATAAGCTGATCTTTCGTCATATTTGATACAATCGTGTTCGTTAAGTCGCACCTTGACTGTGCCACGTGTTTTTCCAGGGGGTGTTTAGGGTGGGGGAGGTTACCCGGGAGGTACTTAGTAAAGGACAATGAGAAAGTTATAGAAACACCACCATACAAATGTATAGAATATACACCAACGAATGTTAGAGAACATTTAATACATAATTTAATACATAATAATTATAGAACATTTAGTTTTGCTATTTTATTATATAAAAAATAGAAACCTCATAGTACTATTTTCGTTTCCATATAATCGATTTTATATAGATTATAATCTATAATATATAGATTTTAATGTATATTTTTATTCGTCAAAACAATGTACCATAAAAGTTCTTCTGTTACTAGTTAAAAAAAAATAATTATCATTAAAAAAAGTCCCACACCTTCACGGAGCTCAGATTAATACAATATTATAGCTGTAGACCCCGCACATGGTGTCCCCCCTCCCCCCGAGCCGCCCCCCTCCAGCCCCTGAACCCTCTGTGACGTCACTCCCTCCCTCCAGCCGGCCGCTGTATCGATCGAGCGACCCCCTCGTAGACTGTTCTAGTGTTATTTAGGTATCTCGAGATCTTATGGTCTTTTTATTATTGTCCATGGCTTTTTTGGACGGGTTTATTTCAATGTATAGATTTTATTTACTTTACTAGTACATATTTTTTATGTAATAAGTATTCTAAGTAGGATAGACTGTATAATAAGGTTATGTTAATTATTGTATACATGGCAAGATGGTATGAGTTGTTTTATAAGAAGATGGCTATAGTACGTCAATGATGTACATTTTTCATCAAACCCGCACCACTAGTTTCATTCATCCGAAACAATTCACTGAGCTTTAATTTTCCAGATGCGCCCAATCAAACGCTAAAAGGCGACAATGTAAACAACATGCAGCAGTCTCCATATCAAAGGGACTATCCACCGGTGGGCCCGGCAGTGTACCAACCCTGGGAAACTCCGGCTTACGAACCCGCCGGGGACGTAACAGGCTTGTGAGTCGTTCCCTTGATTTCATTCCTCCTTCCCATTCCTCATTCCTCCTTTCCATTCCTCATTCCTCCCATTCTCCTCGAAGCATCACTTCAAACATGCCACGTACTTGACTTGGAAAATTGTCTTAACAATATCGATGGCCTTTTCCGCTCTTAATTTTCTGTTTGCAATTTAATTTTTTTTCTCAATGATGATCAAGTTGCTATCTGATTTTCTGACTGTCCAAGAAGAGTTATCTGATTCAGGACATATACTTGACACAGCTTATAAACAGGTTTCTCTTCAAATACATAATTATGTTGCCTTTCAAATGATGGCTAAGATTTGTTCCTAATCTTGAGGATTTCAGTGTATCCTTAACGAGGTTTCCTTTGCTTTTGGGGAAATTCGTTTCAGTATTCCTCCAAGAATAATTTAAGCTACGAAGTACTCAAATTCCTTAATATTCCTTTTCCTCGAGGATTTTCTTGTTGCTTTGTTTCTTTTATTATTATGATTTTGAAATAATGATTCTATAGTTTATTACAAGATTGTAATTTTGTTAACATTTATAAATGTTTTCACATAGTTTTTTATCTGGATATATCAGCCGGTCGTTTGAACTATATATTTTGTTTATATTGTTTTATCCTCCGATCCTTTCCTTGGCTGCGTAGCAGTGGACTTGGTTTCCAATATAAATCGTTGTAGCTTGTCGCAAAGGTAATATTTGTATATACGTATGTATTTTATTTTATTTATAGTATATGTTAAATCGCTTTGTGACAAGCCTTTTTTTTAAATTAGACCATTGATATGAAAAAAGTGTAAAAAATAGATAAGCTCTCCATAGATGTTTATTTTGAATAGTCAGTATCTGTATAGCGCTCTTGTGTGTGATATCTTAAGACAAGCCGGAGATACTGCCTGTGCAATGAGTTACTGTAATTGTTATAGTTTTTAATATATTTTTTTAGCATTAGGTAAGTATTTTGTTAGCTTCAGGAAGCCAAGATGTATGTTAGACTGCTAACGCTGCCCTTTCCTACCTTTTTGTTTCCCCACCCCTCCCCAGCGCCCGGGCTGCAATAGATTTATTTCGATATTATTTTATAGGTGCCTGCGAGATTACAGATCCTATATCAATGTTGTTTACATTGTCGCCAGGTATGCATTTATTTAATGTGATGTGTATTGAGACATTGCAATATCTCAAGGCACTGTTTAACTAATTTTAAGTTCAACAGCGAACAGTTTGAACATAATTTTTTTATGGAGAAGAATCTATTGGGCTATTAACATATAGTTATTAGACTTATGTGAATAGATTATATTAGATTTATATTTTATATCTTCCCTCGCACTGGGTCGTGTTAAAGCACCAGTGCTGCGGAGGAGGTAGTCATTGTTTAGTGGCATGGTTGTTGTCAATAGTTTTTGCAAGGGCTTACGGCCTTAGTAAAGAAACAGAATATAACAAGGAGTTGTATATAATAAGGATTTTTATTATTGTATATATGTATAATTAATTGTTTTTGTGTTTGTTTCAGCGGCCCAGATACCACAGAGAGGCAGTGAGTATTTTTGATTGAAATATTCTTTTAAATAAAGTTTAGGTTTTGTTTCTGTTTCTGAAATAAATGATTTTATGATTTTATATATAGTTTAGTGTATTTCTTTATGTATTTTTATTTCTGTGACTATGTCTATAGTTGATTACGAATATTTAAATAGTTTTTTTAGTTCATATCATAATTATATTTTTTTGTATGACCCCTTATTTTTTCATATACGCATAAACTTTTCATCTGTGTTTTAAATACCATTAAAGCATTAACGACAGGATATAAGTCACCAAAATCAAATTTAGCAATTTTCATAAATTTGAATAGAAATAAAAAATATTTCAGTCATAACAAAAATATAATACTATTTACATAGATCAAATCAAATGATATTCAAATCAAGTACATAAGTAATTTTGTGGTTCCCACTCAAACCTATATCAGTAGAATGAATCCATAAGAAAGATTTATTATAGGATTCAAAGTTTTTTGCATTGACATGAATTTAAGAGACTTTCAACACAATAATGTAAATGTCATTTGATATTATTCGTTAATATTTTGTTGATTATAATATAAATTTAAATGAAGCTAATACTTTTGGTATTTTATTATTTTATTCTGCAAACTTCCGACGTTTCGGTTACTTTGTAGCAACCGTGATCACATCTCGTTTGCAGCAACCGTGATCACGTAAAGACGAGATGTGGTCACGGTTGCAGCAAAATAACCGAAACGTCGGGAGTATGTATGTAGTTAGAATAATAAAAACTCGTAGTAATCTCAAATATTATTTTGATATAAATGATAATATAAAATTAATATTTATATTTCAGGCTGCAAGCGCAAGGAGGATATGGCCTCGGATACACTCCCTTCCCCGAAGAAGCCGCGTTTGGTTTTCACAGATCTACAGCGGCGTACTCTGCAGGCTATTTTTAAGGTAATACATATGTTTCTTTACAAAAAAATCATCGAAAATAAGACATTAAGAAACAGACTCAATGATATATAGAGAGACTTACTGCTTTTATTGTTTTTGTGGATGAAAAGTCTTGAAATATCTGTAAAAATCTGTAAAGCTATAATCTTACTAATGAGATGATTTTGAAAGTTTGTGAATATGCAAGGATTTTTGATGCTTTTACATGCAAAAAACAGTGAACAAATTTTGATGATACATTCTTATAATATAGCTTTGACATCTGAATATTTGATAGTCTATAATTTATCCCGAAATTCCTTGTAGTTTCTGTCTGATAATGCATAAAATTTGTATTCTAAATACACTCACGTGATTTACTATGGATTGTACTATATTTTACCAGATAAATCGTACACAAAGCACATTTATATTTGAAAGCAATTACAAAATCCACACTGACGAAATCGATCACAAAAACAATATTAAAAGTGTCCTATTGGTCAAGTATAGTCTAATATTTTGTTTTAAAACCTTCCAGGAAACGAAACGACCATCAAAAGAGATGCAAGTAACGATAGCGCGGCAGCTCGGTCTGGAGCCGACCACCGTCGGCAACTTCTTCATGAACGCTCGCAGACGATCCATGGACAAATGGAAGGACGACGACGCGCCTTCCACAGACTTAGACCAGCAATGCGACGGGCAGGACCTAGACCACGTGCCCAGTCTAGACTCGGCGGAGTCTGAGGAGGATCACGACGACACCGACGACCATCTCTTGTGACGCCCCATACCCCAGCAGCATCTGCTAGTTCTCTGAAATGAACGCGAAGTCGCCGGGGAGTTCGGACCCTACTAACTGCTATTCTCGCCCACGCTTCGTCTCTAGTCAACTCCGACCCCCGAGTGACTTCGTGAGTGTACAGCCAGTGACTGTAGTGATGTTGCTCCAAGGACTGATGATGGTGATGGAATGATCTCTCGTAATAAATGTTTCTAGTCAAACTCGACCCGATAGTCCACCGTTCTTCAGTATTAGGTGAGATGTGTTTTATTTATGTTACCTAGTGTATGTGTCGTGTGAATACATTCAACGTAGGACGAAATAGCTTAATATGTACGGAGATTTATTTATTTACTGTTAAATACAAACGAGTAATGTACGATTGTAATACAGATGGTTTGTTTGCGGTGTTAATGTATTCAATCGGTGCGGCTTTTTGTAGTTAAAATGAAATATAAACTATTAAATGACGCGATAATTAGTTGGAATGTCCGATTTAATCGGATCTGTGTTACGTAAAAGTTTTGTACGAGTACCATCCGCGCTCCTACCACGGGTTTTCGATATCGAATCGAACAGATATTTTTTTGTTGTTCATTACAAAAATTCCTTACGTGATTTCAATATGAATGAAATGAAAACTCGTGGTAGGGGTATTGGTTTTTGGTATTCCTGGGTAAGTTTTCGTATGATTTGTCGTTTGCTTTCCAACTTCTAGATGGTATTTGGACTGTATCTAGTGAATGTAACTTCTAGTCAAGTGATCCCTACATTCCATTACGGGACAATGAAAGGCACGTGATATTACTTAAATATAATTAGTTAAGAGGCTTCACTTGTATGTAAGTAATTATAAATCTAGTCCGATTTGAGCAAAAAACATTAGTGTATTGAACGATATCAATAAAGCTTAATGTACCTATATTAGGCCGTAGTATAAGTTATTGCTCATGTTCTGGTCACGTCGCCCATGTTTTATTTCCCATGACGGCTTTAACGCCCATCACCGGTTAATATTAAGTTAGTATAATATATTTTTAAAGTAAGTTATTTATTTTTACACTATATTTGTACTGTATACAATCGCTCACGTTTAATTTTGTTTTTTTTTTTTTGTACACATGTACTTATCTGTACCAAAGTAACGAGAAGTGCAATTTATTTATATTAAGAGTATGTAACATTTTCTATTGATTCGTATATTGTATATTTATTAAGCGTATGCTTATACTGTGAAAAAGTTTTCTTTTATATATGGGGGGCTTTTGATATGGAAGTGTTTTAAAATTATTTCTTATTGCGTTAACCTATTTCCACCCTCCCTCGCCCCGGCGCACAAAAACTTAAACAGTATATATAACGCATTTAACAAGTTCAAAGCATGATTTAAATCAGATTTTAAAAAAGTATTTATTTTATAAATCATTATATAATAATAGTGATATATTTAGTTGATGCATTGTTGAATCGGATACATTTGAAATGATAATGAAATATTTTTGTGCATGTATAGTGCGCTCACACTGTACATAGTACGTGGTCATGTAAGAATAAATGTACATTTTATAAAGTCTACATTCTTTTATTTCATTATTGGAATTAATTTTATGTATTTTTTTTGTCATTATTTGTATGTCGTATTTAGTATCCCCTTATATCAATTGTATTTTGGTAAATAGGAAATATCTCAGTGGTTACGATACTAAAGGATTGTTATAAATAAAGTATTAGTACCTAAGAATAATGAAAATGAAATATGTATAACAAACTAACAGAGTTAAATTCTTTCAAACAAATACAAAGTAATGTGTGAAGTCAGTTTAGAGTAAGGCAGCAGTGGCAATACTGTCTCTGGGCAAAATGAAGTACTATGTCAAGGCTTGGTGTAAGTTTAATGTATCATGAGGAGAAATAGGCTTCGGAAGCTTCTTCTAATCTGTTCCCGGAGAAGCGAAGAAAAAGAGAAGTAATACCGATTCTCTCTCTGAATTAAAATTGAGATGATTATATTATAAGACGTATAATGTTTCGGAACGTGTTATATGTTCTCTTTTCAGGCATCTGTTGCTAAGGAGCTTGCTTCAATGGTAAAAAATGCTAATAATAGCTGGTGGAAGGAGGATTTTCAGCCTACACTGGCAGTCTCAAAACATGGAGGCATCTTTCGCTAGATATAGTGCGTTTGATTTAAGCTGAGCTTTGCATTTGTGTGTGTGCACACGGATAGTGTAGGTGTGATGTAAAATTTTTGAATGCCACGTTTTTGCTAGTTTTTAATCGGTTTATACTGCTTTTACTCCGCCCCGCACCTTCCGCACTTCACCCTTTGTACTGGTAGCAGCCTCAAATGTTGAAAACACAATGTCAAGTGAAAAAGAATTTGTGTAGTTTTTGCAAAAAGTTTATTAATTAATAATTTTTATTTTATTTTATTCATAATATTTTCACCTAGCCTTTTTCAAGTTTTGCTTATTTTATTTCTAATCTAGAATAGCTTTCGTCCTTATGTATCTATTTAAAATATAATAAGATATAATTCTAAAAGTTTTTTTTCTAACTCTACTTTTACTTTCACTCACACAAATGCAAAACTCAGGTTAAGTCTAACGGACTATATCTTTCTGTCTGTGAAAATATCTTTTCTTCTTTTAAATCATAAACTTCATAGTATTTGGCGACTATCATTTCTACTTAGGTAATTAGAAAATAAATCTAAGGTGGTATAACACTACTCTCGAAAAAAAAACACGCTGGCAAACTACTGTAGTTCTTTCCCTAAGAAGATGACGGAATTGTATCGCTTTGTTTAACAGTAAGTTAATTAATGAGATCTAAGATTTTCGCTTTTATCCATTGAAATAAAATTAATATTTTTAACAATCATTTTGAACTACATACTCCTGACGTTTCGGTTAATTATTCAACAACCGTGATCACGGGCAGACGTGATGTGAATGTCTGTCAGTTGGTCCTGTTATTTACCATCGACCGCCAACTATTTCTTAATTTTCTGACGTATCGCTCTGGATGCCGGCAGAAAGTGCTTACGCTATCCTGAGGTCTTGCGGTGTGGTCACGAATATAGGTTTATATATTTTTAAGGAGGGGGTCTATTTTGGAAAGACGTCAAAACACATTAAAATCGTAAAAAACGTTTTCTTTGGAATTTTTTCGTTAAGTTTTTTTTGCTTAGTGTTTTCCAACGTTTAAGCGATGTCACTTCTTATCTTTTTTTCTTCCTGGCAATTTCCCAGCTTTAGCCAGGGTCTGCCTTACATGTTTGTGAATAGTTTTTGGCTATTTGTTTTTACGACCGGCCGCCTGCCTGACGTCAACCGTCTTTTGGGAATCAACATTAATCAGTGATGTCTAAATACTGTTAAAAAGTACATAAGACTCGGAAAAATCGCATTGGTACTTGCCCGGGCCAGGATCGAACCCGCACCCTCGTGCATGAGAGGCGGGTCTTGTAACCACTAGGCCACCACTGATTTAAGCTGCGTCACTTCTTATTTGACACCAATATTTTTTTATCAACCTTTGTATTTTAATTTTTCACCTATTATGAATTAGGAATGAATGTGAATTGAAATTGAATTTTGTTTGAAGAAGAGGCTTTGAGGATGATTGAGTAAATGGTTTGTCAATGTAAAGTATATGTTGTGCTATTTATATATATTCGTCTACCACTTTCTTTTAGGCTTTGTCGTAACTACTACAGTCATCGTTGATGTTGACGTTTTATTTCTATTTGGGCGTATTTACTTGACGTTCGTATGACATCCCTCGTATTCACATAGTTTCTTCCCCTGGCTCTTGCTGTATAGATTGTTCGAATCTATCAACTATTCACAATCCTGTCAGTAAATTATATTGACGTATGCTTGTAGGTGTATATGTCTATATGCTTCCTGTGAACACAATGAGTTACGGATACATCTTTGACGTTACCTTGACATCCAGGTATGGATTCAGTGACGAGTCTTAAAAATGAGAAATTAAATAATCCAGACTTTACAAGTACAGGATGGTTCTCTAAAGCAAGTGGTTTTCTTATGACTAAAAAGTAAACGATTTTTGGTAGCCTAAGAGCCTAATAAAGGGGTCACTGTTTCTGTGTCCCTAGTCTAGTCCGTATTTAAACACTTACTGAAATATTAGTTTTATTTTAATTTAAATTACCCATATAAAAATTTTCTCCAACATTTTTTGTGAACAGTTTAATAGTGGAAATGAAGTCATGGTAAACATTTATTTTCTTTTTAACACCGTTTCAGTATGAAGCAGTTTTCGGTGTGGTGTTTCAAAAATATCGATTCAACGGCAGGTTAGGATTTATTTTAAACACTTATACTTAAATTATAAAGTGGATCGAAATAAGTAGAAAAAGTAATTAGTCTGTTATACTATGAACATAAAGTAAACAATTAATTTTATTATATTCGGAAGTAATTATTCAAAAAAATTGATTAAAAGCTGATAAATTCCACTTCTGGACGAAGCGCTTCGTGACAAACATGAACATTTATTAACCAAAATCAATTTTTTGATCAATATCTCCAATAGTGTTAGTCGTACTTGTAGTTAATATGTAGGAATCATTCATCTTAGACAAAGACACACGTCATTTTAACAAGAACTTAAGGTCTATGGCTCTCGTTTTTACTATACACTCTGTAAAATTCTTTGTAGTAGTTCAACGAGTAAACATAGCTGAAGAATTATAATTATAAAGAAAATTATCAGTAGGTACCTCACTAATATATTTTTCAACTGTTATTGCATAAAGATATATTTCTTAAACATACAGACATACAAACGACATAAAGACGTATTATATGACGTTTAGACTGATATAAAGCTGAGATATGTGTGTAAAAATTGTCCTTCTATACGTAGATTATGATTCACAAGTCTATTCAAATTTTTGTTGAAAGAACAAAACAAAAATATTTTTTTTAATAATTATTTAACAGGATACATACTTATGTTTTATTGAACAAACTGACAATTCAAAGAAAAGAACTTTATTATATTATATGACAACGATTTATAAACTTAGCTACGTGTTCTGTTTATATTTCTTTACAATAACAGTTTTGCATTCTCAAAGCAGATAGGTGCTTACAACAACGTAGCATTTAAAATATTTATTTTTTATTTTAATTCACATTATTTAGTCTTAACACCATATAAGTAGATCAGATTCATTATACAGTATTTCCGAGATAGTAAAATAAATCATGTATTAGGTAAGTTATTTCTTAAAGACATTGATAGGTTGTCATCTTACCACGTGGTTAGTGTTGAAGAAAATCTAATTCATTTCGAAGTTCTCGTTTCTTAGTAGTGACGTACTTCTTATACAAATAACTATTAAAATGATCTTAAAACTACACTTCTTTAAAGAAAAGAAGAGAAAATGTATGAGGTATGATAAGATTAAGGAATTATTTACTGACAAATAATAGAAATGGTTGCAATGAGCACACTGCTGATGACGTATTTCTTCCTCGTCAGTTTGATTAAGAATATAGAAGTTCCCTTTATATTTATCTACTATACTTATTATATTTCTTGACATCAATCTATCCGTATAGACACTGACGTAAAAGAATTTAAATTCTATGCTAGTATAATTTTAGGACTTATGCCTTCCTGGCTAAAAAAATACAGGACCAAATTCAGGTAACAGAAAGATTCCAAAATGTACGGATACAAAAATACTCATCATTCAATGTATTCACGGTGCGTGTGTCGGGTCCATCGTTGTAGTGAGAGGAGCTTCAACAGTGACTGTGACTTGTGACCCAGGTGTAGGTTTAAGGGACCCTATCTAACGCGCGTTAAACACTCACCTCCACCATCCAAGCTCCACTCTCTATCAAATTTAAAACGAACCTACTAGGGCTGCCTTTGAAGTATAAATGTGTTGTATACAAATTAACACATTTTTTCTGATTCATTATTAAAAGCATTTTTACAAAGACGTTAGTAACTAATGCAGAGAAGTCCTTGAAAGAAAATATTAAATGCAAAGAAAAGTAACTATAAGTGTGAAGAGATTTCTATAAGATTTAAAATAATATATTGCTTTCAAAGTCCACTTAAATTATTGTTATAAAATCGTAGCAATAAATAAATAATTACAATTAAAAGAAAACAAATGATACAGTTATATTGTTAAATCATATTGTTATTAGTCATAAAAATAAACTAAATTATTTGGTTATAAAAACATTTTATTTGGAAAAATATTATTTATAGAACATCTTTAAAATATAACACGAACTTGTTTCGTAAATTAATTAAAATAAAATCTTTTATAATTAATTTTTAATGAAGCCATCTCTCTCGTTACATTTTATCGATTCAATGAGTTCTACTAATAGAAGAGCTGTGTTAATCCCGTCCCTAGACTATAACCGTCTTTCTGGATCAGAAATCGATTTCCATCCTTCTGTTAACCCATTTCTAAGACCTATATTTGACTAAACGTTTCTGGAATAAGAGAAACTCATTTAAGAAATCTAAATGCCCAAGGCTGTAAGTCATTTCACTTCAGAAGACAAAGGCCTTTTAAAAAAATCTTGGGAAAAGAAAAACATATAAAAGGTCACTAGAGCTCGAGTGTGCGAGGTGGATGGGGTGATGCTGAAAGCTGGGAGTGCGAAAGGGATGGGTGGATGAAAATCAATTTATTAGGTAGTGACGTCACAGTTCGCGCACGCGTATCTCATATTCACCCGGGATGGGGTTGCTAGGATATAAACACTCGATTCACATAAAGGGTAATTTGAAAGAAAAATATCATGGCAGAAAGGCGATATAAAATGTATAATTCGTTCAAAAATGCAAAGTATTTTTAAGGGAGTAATAATAATCAAGAAGATTTTAAAGTTATTATGTTATAAAAAATCGATAGCGTTTATTGTGTTATCACAAGTATCGCTAGTAAATATCTAAGGTTGTGGAATACAAAATCAAAGGATGAATATTTTTTTCAAACAAACAATGCTTTTAACGTCAGTCGTAAATCTTCAACAGGTCGCCATAAAATTTAAACATCTGTAGTGAGGGTTATTTTAAATCATAACTTGGTAACACCGTATCATCTGGGCGGGCTGCCCAAAATAGCGCGACGCAGGGGGGCAATACCGTTGTCGTTTCAGTAGAGCGGCGACGGTGGCGCCGACTGCACGCGATGGCGTCCGTCGCCGCATGGCTGCCGTTCGCGCGCGCCGCCGCCATCGGCTGGGTGCCCATCGCCACGCACCCGCTGCCTTCCCCGCCCGTCCCCAAGGACCGAAGACGAGCCGAGGACGAGAAGCTGCTCATTAACGTCTCCGGGCGACGCTTCGAAACTTGGAGGAACACGCTTGAAAAATACCCCGACTCCCTCCTCGGATCGTCGGAGAGGGAGTTCTTCTACGATGAGGACAGTCGGGAATACTTCTTCGACAGAGATCCGGATATCTTTAGACATATACTCAATTATTATAGGACCGGGAAGCTCCATTATCCCAAACACGAGTGTTTGACTGGGTACGACGAGGAGCTCGCGTTTTTCGGAATCCTGCCAGATGTTATAGGTGACTGTTGTTATGAGGACTACAGGGATAGGAAACGGGAGAATGCTGAGCGGCTCATGGACGACAAGCTCAGCGAGGCCGGAGACCAGAGCCTGCCTCAACTCACGGACTTACGACAAAAGATGTGGAGGGCGTTCGAGAACCCACACACGTCGACAGCTGCGCTAGTATTTTACTACGTGACTGGATTCTTTATCGCCGTCTCTGTGATGGCCAACGTGGTCGAGACGGTGCCATGTGGACACAGACCAGGCCGAGCGGGCACCCTGCCCTGCGGAGAGAGATATAAAATTGTGTTCTTTTGTTTGGACACAGCATGCGTGATGATATTCACCGCTGAGTACCTGCTGCGACTGTTCGCGGCTCCGGACCGATGTAAGTTCGTGAGATCGGTCATGTCCATCATCGACGTGGTGGCCATCCTGCCGTACTACATCGGCCTGGGCATCACTGATAACGATGACGTCTCCGGGGCGTTTGTGACCCTGAGAGTGTTCCGAGTGTTCCGTATCTTCAAGTTCTCGCGTCACTCGCAAGGTCTCCGGATCTTGGGTTATACTCTGAAGTCCTGCGCCAGCGAATTGGGTTTCCTAGTGTTCTCACTGGCGATGGCTATCATTATCTTCGCTACGGTCATGTTCTACGCTGAGAAGAACGAGCAGGACACCAACTTCACCTCCATCCCCGCAGCCTTCTGGTACACCATCGTCACAATGACCACTCTGGGGTAAGTCTTTCGTTTTTTTTCTATTTTTATTCCCGACACCTGTCGTTTACACCAATTTCAACTGGTAATAGCTGTCATGGCGTCAATGATTTCCCTCCATAAAGAGGCTCGACCCGTGAAACATTGATGGCGCACGAATTTAATTGCCGTTCCATCTGAAACGGGATCGTAAAACATTTTTTAAATCGTATTTTCTGCGTCGCGTGGTCAAATAACGAATCATAATAACGCTCGCGTTGGTTTTTAATTTCGTTTTAACTAAACGCAATCTTTTCAGATTAATGTTAACCTTTAAATAACCTGACTTATGCTGTTTGAATGTCATACAATAATTTAAATTTTTTATTTCTATATATTAAGACGATAATTAATGTGGCTCGATAAAAATTTACTTCAATTCAAAGGTAAATGTACTGCACTATATTCTTAATTCTTATTAAATTCTTTTATACATTTAATCATTGTGATCCGATTAAGAAATTTAATTAAATTGACACATATAGACAGGAAAACACTCGCTGTTTTAATTATTATTGTATCTACAAATACAACGATTATAATATATTTTTCTGTATATATTGTAAAGAATCTTTAAAGTTGTTTATCTTAAATCGCTCCATCAGGGAATGTTCGATGATGCCTCTTATTTAAGTCCTCATCATATTAAGGGGTTCGAACCTTTGAAGCCGGGGGTCCGGGACCCACTTAATAAATTTCCTCCGGGTTTTTATCACGTAATGTGAAAACCTTTATACATATAATTTATTTCTTAGTGAATGAAAGAGCTATTTGTATACGTCTTTTCAGTAAATGTTTTTCTTTATAAAAAGTGTATACTTTTTAAAGTTAATGTACGGTTGTGTTTAAAAGATTAATCCTTTCTTATATATTTTTAAATATTATACAGTCCACCACATTAATGTAGCATATATATATTATACATTATAAAAAGGACAATTTTTTTTAGTTGAGTAAATTATATAAAATTATTATTGGATGAAACATTTTTTTGTGTTCCTGAGTATAAATTGATATAAAAAGATCAGATACTTTAGATTCAATATAAAAAAATAGACGTAAATTAAAATAAATCAGTAAAATAATACGATTTAATTTATAAATCGATAAGCTTTTTATACGGTAAACTTTTTTGTTTTTAATCTGTATTAATTGTTGGTAATAATCTGTCAGTGTTCGTGTTCACACGTCACTATTGATCTGTCAAGTGACATTAAAATGAAAAAAAATGAAAGATAATCACGAATATATATTAGGTACCTACTCATAATAAACATGTTTATAATTATACATATATAATATATACTATATGATAGATAATAAAACATATTAATTAATTATAATACAAATAAACCTTTTTTGTATTCATAAGCATTAATTTTTTTTTAAATATTATACTCGATTAGTCCTAGAGCTTTAATCTATACGGCTTTGAAAAGATATACTATAATACATTTTAATTTTATTCTCTGTTTTTAGATTACTGTATACATTAAGAAATTTAAATATAACTAGATTATTTACTGAAGAGAGATGCTTGTTTAAGCTTAGCAAAATATTTAAATAGGTAGTTCTTTGTACCTAAATTATTCTATCAATAATATCGTCAACATGAGATCTAAGACTTTCGAGACTATTAATTTGAATAATATTTTTAGATTTACTTACATACTGGGCGTGTTTTATTATTTCTAAATTACATAGTCTCGACTATACTTTTGCTTTGGTATCGTATTTGCTACAATGTGACCGAAACGTCAAGAAAAAATGTTGTTTAAAATAATAAAATACTCTCAGTATTTCGGAAATTTATTTCGGAGTTTTATTTAAGCTATATTGTCAGCTGAGACTGGCATATCGACTTGGCTGAGCTAACAAATCGTTCATCTAGCTGTAATGTGACATGCAATAGATAGATGAAAAAAATGAGGAGATGCTTTGAAGCAATATGAACTTCTCTTCGATAAATGTTAATTTATTCATGACCTTTCACTTGTAGATAATGATCATAGTATATCTAGAGTTGATATCTAATTTACGTGTTGTATGTAAATCGTACTTATCAATCTTTGTAATGTCTTTCTTACGATTAAATTCATAACTTTAAAATAAGGGTAAAGTATGGATATATTTTGTGAGGTGGTAGAGCCTAGCTGTGGTCAGTTACTACAGCTCGAACTTGGGCTGGCTCGACCGGGGAAGTATCACAGAAAATCGGCGTGAAGTAGTCTTTAATCGTTGCGTTTCGTCCGATGAGTGATTTCCCTTTTTCCACCGTTTCCTGACCTTTCCCTTGTCTATGGGCGACGGTACTACCTCAATCAGGTAGGTCTTCTGCCCTGTTGCCCCCTTTAGCATAAAAAAACGTGATGAAAACTAAATAATTTACTAGCACATACAAGTAGGGACACTTAATTCTTAGCTCATTTTTGTATCAAATTCTTTGAAATATATCGCTTTTAGTAGACAAATATTAATTAAATGTATACAAAGGAAAGATCGTTGCATTAAATTTCCATATATTTTCTTTTATTACTCTCCAACTTTGGTATTAGATGCACTTCAAGCTCACCTTGGTTGCGCAACCAGTTTTGTAGGTCAGCCAGAGCATTATACATGATAGACAGACAGACGCCGCGACAAAATTTATATTAAATTCAGGGACGATTTCTAAAACAAACAGAAATAAACTAAATATACTTCTTGAGTCTTGAGTTATATTGGACTTCAAACGTCTGCTGGAAATGTGGTTTTAAAGAAAGTCATCACGCTATCTTCAATCTTTGAGGAGTTACAACATTGCTGTGTCAGAAACTATGGTCTATCAATATATAAGGAAGAATAGTTTGTTTGACTAATATATCTTTGTATTAATATAACTCGTTTAACCTAGTCTTCCTAAATACATATAATTGACACTTAAATAAAAGTTCATAGAATCTTTCGTTATATCAAATTAATCTTATGTATATAAGAACGAAACATTATATATAATATAAAAATCATATGCAATGATACCGTTATTTGCAAATATATAATAAGTTAGCAAAAATTTTTACTATCAAATTAGCTACCTACTTTTTATTTACTACTTATTTAAATCAGAAGTAGATAATATACATATGTACATGTAGTACAAATACTCTTTTAAAGGTGTCTTCATGTAGTGGTATGATAAGTTTTTACCTACTTCAAGAGTTCAAGACGAGACGTGCTGTCGCCTAATAAGTATATAATGTAAATTGTTATATACAGCTTTATATTCTAGGCTCTTTTTAATAACTACACGCGAAACTGTTAGGAGTTTTTGTTCTTAATCAATTACGAACTATTGATTGTTGTATATATTTATATAATAATGATTTTATTACAATATATTATTAGATTATTTCCGTTCTACGGTTAGTGTGGAGTAACGATTATTTAATTATAAAAGACCAATACATAAATTTAACAATTATACTTACTTGAGTACTCGTCCGGAACTGCCTTATATCATATGGAAATGAGTTAACTCTCTTACATGAATGGACTGATGATAAACAAATGTAGCTAAGAAACTGGCTATTTTATGAAAGAAACTGCATCAAAATCAGTTTCAGAGCTTTAATGTAACATACATATGCAGACATAGTCATCAAACTGATATTACCCCTTTTTTAAGGTTTTAAAAAACTAAGTCTTATATTTATTTTTAAGAATTCCCCTTATAAGATCAAATGAAGTTTCATATATTATAAAAAATAAATTTTATAGGAAGAAGTTATATAGTATTTATATAGTAAATATTTCATACAAACTAAGCTAACAGTTTATAACGGTCTGCTTAAATTACTCCTGGTACATAATTAATCTGCACTGCATCCCTTCAGTGTAATCAGCTTCGTGTAATTTAATCTTCCTCAGCTCCACTACACTATATAGGAGAAACCTTAATTAATTATTTCTATATGAAAGTCTATTTTTATCATCATCAACCTATAGCCCACTGCTGAGCCTCTTCTCACATGGAGAAGGTTTGAGCATTAACCACGCTTGCTCAAGACGGGTTGGTGATTTCAAACTTATAATTTGATATTATAAGTCCAGGTTTCCTCACGATGTTTTCCTTCATCTCAGTGATGTCTAAATACTCTTAGAAAGTACATATGAGTCTGAAAAATCACATTGGTACTTGCCAGGTTGAGAACTCACGCCCTCATACATGAGAGGCGGACCTTTAACCACTAGGCCACTACGACTTATTTTTATCATACTTATATAGGTACATAATGTTAAAGCGTTTATCTCAATATAAATATATATAACAAAACATAGTATTATATGTATACTAGTTTTTGCCCGCGACTTCGTCTGCGTTAGTTTCAGAATTAAAAATGTATAGCTGACCGGGCGAACACGATTCTTCTTTAAAGACAGTAGATAATAAGAATTTTGATTTGATCAACTTTTTTTTCCAATCGGAATTAAATATCCTATTTCCTTTCTCTGGTTAGAAGCTGTCTCTCCACCAATCTTCAGCCAAACCCGTACAGCTGTTCTTGAGTTATAAATAGTGTAACTAACACGACTTTCTTTTATATATATAGATATATAAGATTGCTTTTGAAACGAGATGTTGTAATAACTTAAATTATGTATATACATATATAAATATATATTAGGTACACTTTAAATATATCGTAAAAATATATGACACGTTTTTATCTTTACGACGTGACAAAAAAATAAAGATTTCACTGAATTCTATTTCAAAGTTAACCGCATCTAAGATCAAAGTTTAACAAACCAGAGTGTTTTGTAATAGGACGCCGATGTCTGTTCTCAATGCCAGTTAAATGAACAAATTATGGTCTTGAGTCTTGGAAGTTTTAATAAAAAAAGATTTTCATTGGAGTTTTTTATGTCAAAATAACCACGGTTTGTATATTATTTTACTTTTAAAGAAAATAATACGTGATATATTTATATAAATGATAAAA